GCAAAGGTTGGTAATGAAGAGGTGTAGGAGGAAACAGGCAAGAAAAATGTTTTTGAATAGTTAATTGTAAGTTTTTCATAATTGAACCAATTAATCAGATTAGAAAAATCTATTGAAATTTTGTTTTTTAAATTACTCCAATCATTACCCTCATAATAAATAACGGTATCATCCGCGAAAGTAAGAATGTCACCACTGGTTCTTTGCAGAAATAGATCATTTATGTAAACGATAAACAACAGTGGGCCAAGTATGGTTCCTTGGGGAACTCCATATTTAGAGCCCAATAGATTGCTTCTCACGCCGTTTACTTCAACGCACTGTTGTCTCCCGTTTAAGTAAATGTGAAAAAGTTGAAGTGCCCCTCCTCACCATTTTGTTCCAATGATTCTAGCAAAAGAGAAAAATCTACCGTATCGAATGCCTTTGCAAGGTCTAAAAATACAGCAATAGAGGGGGTGCTTTTATCAAGAGAACTATACATTTTATCCGTAAGCGTGGCTATAGCATGTTCAGTAGATATACCCTTCTGGAAGCCAAATTGCTTATCGGAGATAATTTTAAATTTCTTAAAAAATTTATCTAGTCTATTTTTAAGAACGTATTCCAATATTTTAGCCATATTACTTATTATTGAGATTGGTCTATAATTTTCGCATAGAGTTTGATCACCACTTTTAAAGATTGGCTTAACAATGGATATTTTAAAACAATGAGGAATATTTCCAGTTTCTAAGATGACATTCATGATGTATGTAAGTGGCTGCTTTATGTTAATAGCAGATTCTTTTAAAGTTTTTACTGTTATGCTTTCATAACCAAATGATTTTTTATTTTTAAGGTTTTTTATAATATTAAGTATTTCACCTTCATTTGTGGGTTCAAGATAAAATGAATTATTAAGAACTGATTTGTTAGGGGTATACATAGGGTTGGAGTTAATTTTATTTGCAAGTTTTGTACCAATATTTATAAAGGTTTTATTAAATTCATTAGCCATGTCGAGGATATTATTAAGTTTTACATTTGAATTTGTTCTAATTGAAAATGTTTTTGTTTTATTATTACAGTTTTTTAGGTCTTTAACTATATTCCAGAGTTTAGATTTATCATTTATATTTTCTTGAAACTTTCGCTGATAATATGTTTTTTTAGTCTGAGCTATGGATTTTCCGATTTGTAAGCGAAGTTTATTGTAATGGCTTTTTACGTTTGCATTGTGTGGGTTTTTTATGCTAAGTTTGTAATAGTTATTTTTTTCGTTTATTAAGTTAATTAGGTTAGAATTTATCCACTCATTTCTTTTTTTATTAGAGGATTTGATAACTTTATAGGTAGTACACATATTGGTTTTTTCATTTATTACTTTTATAAATTCATTTGTGGCATCGTTTATATTATTATAGTGGTATAGCGTATCCCAGTTGTGACCGTTTAGGTAATAATTGAGTTTTTTGTAATTTATGAATTTAATAAACCCATTGTTGGTATTTTTTTAACTGAGTTTGTTCTAGTTACTATTTGTAAAGCAATGGTATAGTGATCTGTAATATTGGTCTTTATGACAATTGGGAGGAGCAGTTGTTTATCGTGATGAGTTTTTACAAAAATGTGGTCAATGCAGGATTTAGACTCGTTTGTGACCCTGGTGTATGTGTTAATGGCTGAAGTATAATCAAATTCTGATAGTAAATCCCGATATTGGTGACTAATTTCATTTTGTTGTTTTATATTTATGTTCATATCACCGATTAATATACTATAATCTGAATTTAGATTATTGCTGTTGAAGTAATCTTTGAGGCCTGCAATAAATTCTTTAGGATCAAGAGAGGGAGATCTATAAATAGCTAATAGGTGGATTGTATATTTTTCGTACTTAATGGTTAGTTCAATTGCACATAGCTCTTGAAACTTAACGATATTACTAGAACAGGAAATGTGTTCTTTAATAAATATCAAGACACCATCATTTTTATTTACCTTTCCTTCGTTATAAATAGTAGAATACCCCGGGATATTAAATAGCGAAAAATCTTCCAGAATATACGTTTCCGTCAAAATTATGACATCATAAAGGTCATCCAAACTATTTAGCTCGATTTTTAGCTCATCAAGGTTTTTTTGAACACTTCTAATGTTCATATGAACTATTTTTACATTGGTTTTATCATTATTTACTTTAAATACTTCAATGCATTCTTCAAGTGAGTCTGTGATCTCATTTTTTAACTCGTCTATGCAAAAATCACTTATATAATTATCCATCATGTGACTACAGGTTATTATAATAATTGACTGATCTACTAATTCTAGTTATAAAAAACGAAAAAAAAATGCTCAATAAATAAAGGTTCAATAAATGTTAACTTACTTTAATGTTGAAAACTACACTAAAAGATCTAAGAACAAAATATTATAAGCAAACATCTACAGATAAGAGACAAGGCAATAAAAAACAAAAAAGGCAATAGTTTAGAAATAAAATAAACATAAATTACTAAGTTGGGATCTGCGTTTTTTTTTAATTCTTTCCGAGCGTTTGCAAGGGTTGGATGAAGCAATTTCCTCCGCCTTCCTTTTGTTACCCTTTAGGTTTGTATCTATATGGCTTTCTTCTGGGTGTTGGGCAGCCCAACTTGGGCTATCCCTTCTGATTCACTGCTTTTATTTTCGGCGGCAACAAAAATTAGGTTTTCTGTCCTAATTAAGTCTTCGTAAGTATATGAGTCTTCACCTATGTGTAGTATGTTATTCTTAATGTAGGCTTCTTGATCTTCTTTTTTTGCTTTTTTCATATAATTCTATAATTTATCGAAAAATTTAAAGTTTTATGTAAAAAATCCAAATATTACAGATTTTATTCGATTTTAAATTTTTATTATTTATTTTATTATATTATTTATTATATATTATATTATAAAAAAATATTTAAAATGGTATAAAACCTGTATTATTTGGATTTTTTAAATAAAATTTTAAATTTGTCGATAAATTATAGTAGATAATAAATTGCACCACTTTAATTTGAATTATCTCAAATAGGGGGGCCTGGAGGCGGGTGAGGCGACAAGAAAAACTAACTTTTTTTCGCAAACTTCAATTTAAATTCTGTTTGCGCCGAACTTGTTTATTTAATGTCAATATAAACTATTATAAATTTGGTGTGGGTCCCATGTCTAATAACTGAGATATTGGTATACATAAAATCCACCAGCCGCCACTGAGTGGTATATCCTCCGAGCGGGTAGCTCCTTTGGATATCCCTGTCTTCCACGTAGCCATACGAGAACCATCAGTGTAGCACACTAGTGCATTTTGTGCAAAGTGTACATCCTTTTTCTCCCACTGCTCTCTTGTTGGTATCGTGAGGAAAAATTTTTTTTTAAACTTAAGCGATCTTTTGCTGGCATCGTTCTAATACTGCTAATTGGGACCTCCCTCTCAGCCATATCCGCGATGCCCTCATGACCATAAGTTATTCCTTTTCCTAACCAATTATTGGCATCCCTCATCCTTAAATGGCTCGCCATTGCTTCTCTCTTTATCCAGAGGGAAAGAGTAGGCAAGCTCAGCAAGGCCTCTAATGCCGTCGTTGGAGTAGTCCTCATTGCGCCTGTAATACCGAGACATCCCAGTCTCTGTATCTTGCTCAGTTTTTGAGCGATGGTGGTTTTGCTCACACTGCGCCACCAGACCACTGATCCATAATGTATCCGCGGTCTGATGACAGCAGTATAAATCCAGTGAAGGACTTTGGGATTTTCTCCCCAGCGTTTTTCCACCACCCGGCGCAGCTGCCAGAAAGTTGCAATCGATTTGTCAACAACTTTGTCGACGTGTGATTTCCAACTTAACTTCCTATCTAGGGTAACACCTAGGTACTTGACCTCTTCAGTAATCTCAAGAGGTCTTCCATACATAGCTGGTGCCCTGAAGTCCTGTATCTTCCTTCGTTTGGTAAAAAGAATCATGTCAGTTTTTGTTGGGTTAACCGACAGACCGTTTTCTTTGCACCAATTTTCTATTATTCTGCATGCTGTCTGCATTCTGTCGCAGACTACACCTAGAATGCCTCCTCTGATTAGGACTGTACCATCATCTGCATATGCTTGTGCATACAGCCCTTCAGCCGTTAGTTAGTTAGTTGTTAGTTAAAGATTGCGGGTTTCGTATTAAAATTTCATATTATTATTATTTGGGAATTATATGATCATGCATTTTTGGTAATTTTTACTTATCTTATTTATGTAGACTTGGACTTCGGGTGAATTGCCAGGTAGGTGTGATAAAATTGTTCCTCAACCCCGACCGCCCACTTTAGCACGGTAGTCCAGGTAATTATAACTTGAAACTAATCGTCTCACTCACACCTTTATTCAGGTAAAACTCTTGAGGACTTAATCCAGGAGGAGGTACCACAAGCAGTTTGCACTGTTTTTGGACTTAGATCACCTGTAGAATCGTTATTAATTTTTTTTTGAATAACTTTAGCTGTGGAGCGTCACTGATGTCAAAAGAAAAACATTCTTTTAGTAAAATTTAACTTTGCAAAAATCAAAACTATTTGATATACTATGAAATTGAAATGTACTTTGAAGATTGACAATAGGAGTGGTACAAGAGATTTAAAGCCAATTTTATTTGATATTTTATCTGACATCCGGCAACTTTTGAACATTTTTAACCTCGGTTTTTCCCAATTTCAACTTTAACCTGTGGGCGAAGTAGCATTTTGTCCACACAACAATGACACAGCTTTAAACTTTGTCTACGACCTTCTTACGGTAACTGACCAACACAGACCACCGACCTAAACTATCCACATCAAAATAAAAATTTTTAAAAAGGATACTTGGCTAAAAAATTGCTTTATAGAAACCATAGCGCGTCGTCGTATATAAAAAAAATTCTACAACTTTACCATTTAAATCCTAAACTCACTTCACTCACTAAAAATATTTAATTAAATTAATTTATTATTTTGATTTTAAATATAGACCAATATTAAAGGAAGTAAAAAGTTCCGGACAAACATATTTTTTAATCGACTGCCGCATCGAACACTTGCCGGAAGTTTTACTCCAAATGCAACAAGTTGGCCTTATGACTGGTGATTATAAGTTGTTTATTACGAATTTGGATACACACACAGAAGATTTAACTCCTTTTCAGTATTCAGAAACCAACATAACAGGGGTAAGAACTGAACATTTTTTTTTTGAGTAAAATAAGCAAAAATTATTTCAGATAAGGATTGTTAATCCTGATAGTGAGTATGTTCAAAAAATAAGTTCCGAAATGTACGCCGAAGATAAAAGCATCATGTTTATGCAATCGTGGAAATTAAAAACAGAATCAGCCTTAATTATTGATGCGGTAAACATGTTATCTAAAGCATTTATGGAAATTAACGAGGAATCATTAGCTATAGGAAATATTCAATGCAATTCCACAGAGAGTTGGGCGTTTGGGTATAGTTTAATCAATCTAGTTAAAACGGTAAATAAAAGTAAAGGTCTTTTTGCAATTGCAAAATTTATTTGTAGAGCACTTATAATGGCTTGACCGGATTGATAAACTTTAACCATGAGGGGTTTAGATCCGATTTTTCTTTGGAAATTTACGAGTTAAAGGAAGGTGGCATTCCAATGATTGGTACGTGGAATGCTTCAAGTGGAATTAATATAACTCGACAAGGGAAAATTGTGGACGAAGACAATTTGTCTAGTTTGCATAATAGAACTTTCATAGTCATAACAGCATTGGTAAATCTTACTTAATTTATTTTAGGTAAAATAATAAAACCACTTTTTAATATTTTACAGACGGATCCTTATGGTATGTTAAAAGAAACTCACGAGGTTCTTGTTGGTAACGACAGATTTGAGGGATATGGTATTGAACTTATACATCAATTGTCTTTAATGGAAGGATTTAACTACACTTTCATTATAAGGGAAGACAAGAAGAACGGAAAACAGGATGAGTTAACCGGAAAATGGTCTGGTATGATAGGAGATCTTATAGAACATGTAAGTAAAGGGGTTAAATCAAAGATTTAAAAAAAAAGTAAAATATTTTTACAAATAATTTAAACATATATTATTTCTAAACCATATAGATATATATATATATATACAAACTCTCCTATCTTTTACCACGACGATATAATATTATAATTTTAATATAAATTTTTTCGTTTGTTAATAATAGGAACAACTTTTTACCAAAAGTCCCGAGTTGGCTAAATTCGTCGTTTCGGAATTATTATTTTTTTAATGAAATTTTTCTAGTAAATTTGTGGGTGACCTTTATAAAGTGTAATTTAGAACTTTTTGAAATATATGTAGGTAAAACACTCACACGCAGTTTGCACTGTTTTTGCACTTATATCTGGTATATCACGTGTTGAATCGTTATTATTATTTTTTTTTAACAACCTTAGCGGAGATGGTACTTTGGAAGTACGAGCGCCAAGACCCAAGCGACCTCATTTTTGTTTTTTTTCTGAAAAAACAATAAAAAAAAATTGTGTAAATTCACTTAATTTTTAGGCATATATTTTTTGTATGTAGTAATTTACCTACAATTTAAAAAATTTTAACGATGGACAAGTTATTTCATTTTCAAAAACAAATGTCACTCTTAAAAATAGAAAAATCGATGATTCTGTTAATTTTTCAAAAATTTCCTACTCGTAAACAAAACAAAATTAAGCAAAAGAAAAAATACGGGTCTCGTCGATTTCGGTGAAAAAAATTCGTTGAAAAATAATGACCTACCCCTTTTTGCTTGGTCGATTTGAGATGGAATAGTATATTCTGTAACAAGTTTGGAATACGGCATATTGCGCTCGAGTAAAAAGTTTGTCATACGAGCCGAAGGCGAGCTTGACGGTTTCACGAAAGGGGAATATCCAATTAAGAACGTGTTTCAGACTATACTTTTTTTACGTTTCTAAAAAATACCATAGAAAAATAATTTAATTGGAAGAAATTGAGGTTGGATCGGTCTAAAATTTGTTGGATATTAAAAACAGAGATGTCACAAGGAGTGTTTATTCTGTCATCCGATGATAGAATATTTCATTCTGTAACACTTCACGGAATATATGTCATTCCATATATAAAAGTGATATTAGAACTGTCATATTCCGTATTAGGAGTAGAAAAAGACCCATTATATAACTGTACCTAAATGATAATAATGAAACGTAAATAATTTAAAATAATAATGTAGAATTAAATATTAATGCTTTTAAGGCCACATTTTATTATTTTGGTATAAAAATTCATTAAATAAAACTAAAAAAAGTTGTAGAGGCGCTAAGTATCGAAACCGGTACCTCTCGCATACAAAGAAGGCGCTCTTTCTTCTGAGCTACCCAGTTTAATATAAATTTCCTATCGCTCGGAAAATAATACGGATTTGCAGTGTGTGACGTCAGCCCGGATTAAACTTAAGTCCCGCCAACGTATTATATATTATTTTTATATTTTCTTGTTAAATATTGAACACTATTATTATTTATATTATTTGATATCCTGTGATAAATGTATAAAAGATAAATAACCTATCTAAATTTGATATGTATACATTGGGATTGGTCGTTTGGAAAACCATCATAAAAAAGGCTCTTAGACCACGACGCCGGTTAAATACCACAGAGGAAGAGAACAACAAATCAACTTCGAAGGCCTTTCTTCCCTACATCAAAGGGACAACAGAAAGAATAGGCAAAGTTCTCAAAAACAACCACATTTACCGCCCCAAGAAAGATCGGTCTAATAATTCCAATAATTTTCACCTGTGGCACGAATAACTTCTTGACATCGACTTCCCATCCTTAAAATTAGAGACCTTATGTCATTTTGGTCCAGTTCTTCCCATATTCGAATAAATCTCTGCCGTGCGTCTTTCAAAGTGTTCACGTTGCGTTCCTCTTGTAATCTCCTTTCAAGAGTGTTCCAAAGATTCTCTATGGGATTTAAGTCCGGGCTCCAAGTTGCCATAGTAGCGATTCCGACTTCCTCTAGATAATTTCTCATAACTCGAGCAACGTGAGGCCTGGCATTGTCTTGTACCTTTCAGCCGTAAAGCTACCATTTACGATGAAAAGTTCCGTGCGACCAGTCAAAGAAATACCCCCCCAGACCATCAGAGATCCTCCTTAAAATAATGTTGTATGCGAGAAATTACACTGAGAATACTTTTCGTTAGGGCGTCGATATACACGCATACTAGGGTGGAGTGAAAAGGTCGGCAAAACTTTTTTATTCGTATTTCTTCTTTCCTGTATTATTTATTGTTGGCCACATATGAATACATTAACTATGCAAACAATTTTGAATCTAGGACTTTATCTTCAGGTGGCGCACGCAGCAAGAAAAAAAACAAATTCTGTTTCAGGCGCGGATTTTTATCAATATACTAATAATTATTATGTCAATAGATTAAAACCAATATTGACCTTTTTGTCATGTCCATGGTTTAGTATTAGTTATACTCCCATTCGATACCGACTTAATAATCGAGCGGTTGCAAAATGCCTGAAACTCGTAAAGATTGGCAATGTCCTGACAGGACATTGTCCTGTATTAGGTGAACCACAAAAAATTTTTGAAAACATGTTGCCGACATATAATGATATAATTAAATATTATTTGTTGATCAGAAATGATTTGCTTGAATTAAATAGTGGGAAAGGCCATGCTATCAAAGATGTGTGTAAAATTATTTCCTGTGTCATCGAGAAAATATGGAATATTGTTAGCCATCAACAAGTTGTGGCGAGGTTGATTTCATATAACAACAAGTACAAGGGCGTGAAAAACCTTCGCAATGATGTTAAAAAGAAGTTATTCTGCGACGAGTCCAAAAACTATTTGATATTGCTTCTTGTAAATGCGATTCAAAGAATTCGTACAAATGTGCTTTTAAAATTTTGTTGCAATAGGATGTGATGGTACCGCGGTAAATAGAGGACATCGTTTGTCATCGTTTTACTGGAAAAATAACTTGGTCGCCCTCTACAGTGGTTTGTGTGTTTACTTCAAATACCTCGATGGTACAACAACAGGGCCGAAAAGTTTTTCAGGTGTTATTGGTAAAGAACTGGAGAAGTACCTGAACTATGAAGTAGTGGATTTTGAAGTAATCGACGTAAAATTGCCTGAAATTGATGCTAGTTTGTTAAGCACGGATCACAAAAAATTGTACCAAATTTGCTAAGGTACAATTCCCACTTCCTTATAAGGATCTTTGTTAGTTATAGCTAACAAAGATCCAGGAAAGCTAGCACATTCCCTATGGCTGACGTGTGCTAATAGGATTATTCGTTTATACGTGGGGACAGCAAATCCATCGGCAAACCTAAAAGAATTGGCTACTTTTATCATGAAAGTGTATCCCCAACGTGGTTTTACATCAAAACCAAGCTTACGTACAAACATGGTCCTATTCACATATTTAATATGACTAAAAGAGCATTACACCTCCATAAAAACTTTAAGGCCTTATAACTGTAGTTATAAAGAATATTCAGCGAAATATACATCCCGAAAACCTATTACTTGCTATGTTACCTACAAGATATCTATCGATCAGAGAACGCATTGCGGAAAATATTAAAGGCGAGAAAATAGGTAATCAAAATGTTCAAAATCACGGAAATTAAAGCTTCCACAACTAAACAATGAAGCATTACATTTTTACGAGTTAATTCACTGGGCGACAGAAAAGGTAACATAACCACCTATGACTATGAAATACGATGACAGAAATTACCAATATGATTTCCTATACTTCCAAAAATTTCCTTATCACACCCAAGCAGTGGAACTCTGTTATTACCAGTATACTGAATCTTCAATCTCGGTTTGTAGATCGGAAGCAAGAAATGGTTTCATCAGAACAAGAATTAAAGCCAGAAAAGCATTACCAAATTTTGATACCAAATATTTTCGCGAAAAAAGATCTCCTTTCCACCAATAAACACTCCTGATGTTACTTAAAGCTTATGATTTACTATTAAATATGTTTACGTTTCACGTTAATCTTACTAAAATAAACTTTTTATTTATTAATAATGCTATAGCATATATATTTTTATATATATATATATATATTTATTATTTTGATTGAAGTAATATTTTTTTAGAATTTTCAAAACTTGATGCGCCACCTCAAGATATTAAAAAATTGGAATATTTTGTTGATATTTATTCATTTTACGCCTTTAGTCAACAATTAATAATACAGGAAAAATCATTTAATAAATAAAAAAAAATTCACTCCACCCTAACGCATACGCCTGTCATTATTGTACAAGCAAAATCGGGACTCATCCGTAAATAATACCTGTTGCCATTCAGCCGCTAACCAGTCCCTAGCAAAATTTAGCCTTGCTCTTCAGTGAACTCTAGTTAAAGATGGACCTCCAGCAGCAGTTCTAGTCGCTGACGAACAGTTTCTGTACCAACTTGTAAACCATTAGCATCTCGAAGATGAGTTTGAAGGGTCCGAGCTGTTACAAAACGTTGTCTTAATGCTGAGAGTCTTAAAAACCGTTCCTGAATCGGAGTGACTTTTCGTTTTCGTTGAAAGATAAGGCTAAAGTTTGATTTTAATTTTAACTTGATATTGTAGCTGTTTACCTCTATGAAAAAACACGCTATAATTGCTACACCAGGTATTCGTAAAAAAGAGGTTTCTATCGGAATACAGATAGTATACCAACATTGTAAAAGGGACAACCTATTATTTAAAAAAAAACTTTCAAATCGGACAATTGGTTTTGACAAAACTTTACTTTTGGTTATTTTTTGGTGGTGCGTTAATTTCTTGGAGAAGTATATTTTGAAAAATAATTAAAGGTAGTAAATTAATTGTTGCTTAAAATATCCCAGCTAGCACGATACATAACGTGAGCTCGTGCGATGTTCTGTTTAGGGTGCATAAATACATGTCGTTGAAAACATACCAGGTATATTGCCGATATATTATTTTTTAATATTGCACATTGATATATTGT